CCGGGGGCTGGGGCGTGGGGTGGGGGTGGGGGTGGAGGACAAGGTCAGGTGGGTGCTGGCCGGGAGCTGAGTTCCACGGGGACGGAGGGGTGGACGTGTGGCCGCTGGTCCCCGGGGACGAGAGGCTTCCCCTCTGACCCTCCGCCCAGAGCGGGGTGTGGGACTCTCCCAGGGCCTCTGCATCCCGGGTCCGGAAGTTCAGTGTCGCAGGTCGCCACGAGGAGAGGGCGGGGCGTCCCGCAGGTGTCTGTCTCGCCGTCCTTTATTCGCCATCCCCGGTACCACCGTCTCTCTCCCGGCAAGAGGGTGGGATTTAACGTTTCTGTCTTTACATTCTCTCGTCTGCTGTCTGCCCCCCAACACCCCTCCCGGGGCCCTGGACTCCCCCACTTTAGTGTGCTTCATAACCCACCTCCACTTGTGCAAATGCAGACTCCAGGGCCCCCCCTCAGCGATCGGACTCAGCAGGTCTGGGGGGCTCAGGAATCAGCTTCCCACTTAAATCAGACTCAAAAGGGCCTTATTTTTAGAAACACTGGAAGGGATTGGTGGGCTTGAAAGATCAGACGGGCTTCCTTCAACAGCCCACACCTACACCCCTTCCCCAATGCTCTGGTGTGACGATACCAGACATGGAGAAGGGGAAGGGAGGCAGGGAGGGAGAAAGAGATGAACAAACGAGTCTCTCTGAGCAGGGAACTCCCCTCCCTTTCTCCGCCGCCTGCTTCTCTCCCCTCGGCTTCTGCTTCGTGGTCCTCCTCCTCTCTCACCCCACCAGCCTTGCCCACTTTCTTACCCCACTTCCCCTCCTCATCTGAAGTTCCTAGGAAGGCCAGAGGATCTTGAGGTGGGCGATTGGGGCCTGAGCGGGGATGGCAGAGCCAACCACAGTGCCCACCTTCAAAAGAAAGAGGCAGAGACACCTCTGGGGTTGGAAGCAGACCAAAGGAGGGAGGCAGGGCTTGAGGAAAGATGACAAACATGCGGGTCACCTTTCCATGGGCTATTGCATTCACTCCTTGTGACAACTCGATTTAGGCAGGCACTATTGTCCCCAGCTTACAAAAGAAAAACAAAAATAACACCCCCAAAAACTGACGTTCAGAGAGGTTAAGTAACTTGCCCAAGGTCACACAGCTAGTAAGTGGAAGAATAGTTAAGTCATTAACCCTTCTACTCCCCCAAAACCATTTCTCCAGGGGCCACTGGATAACTCCCAGGCCTACCCTCCCTGCCCCACCCCCCAGGGACAGTGGGGATGGGAAAGGGCATCGTGTACAGAGATGAGAGGAGATGCTCAGGTTTCAGAACGTCTGACAGGTCTGGCTGGAAGCATTAAAAATTCATGTAGAAACCTGACCTCAGCTGGACCTTGGGCCTGCCACCTGGACTGTCCCTGGCCTCAATGGCCTCTCAGAATTTGGTGGGCAAATTTCCCTCTGCAGGGTCCTAGTATTCCCACATTTTTATATTTCACAGGAGAGGAGTTCTCTTATGGATTAGGGATCTGAAGTCGGGAGCCAGTAGCTCATGAAAGCAGGGCTGAGAATCCTCCCCCTCACTCCGGGGGTAAGAACCTTAGAGGCTTAAGGGCTTATAACCTTGTCATCTGGCGTCCTTCTATTCCTCTCCCCAGGCAGTTAGATGCTCACTTTCAGTTTAGGATGACCAAAGCCTGACTGTGCTTCCTAAGGCGGCCAGTTGGGGGCAGCCAGAGTCTCTTATCTGCTGCTTTGAAGGGCAGTGAAAGAAGCCCCATATCTGGTCAGAGAGATGCAGTCTTGGCCTTGGAGAAGGGCTCTGGAGTATGTGATCCGAGAAAGGGGAGAGGTTGCGGGAGATTGAGGTGCCTTTTTCAGATTAGGGAGCATTCAAAGTAGGTTTGTGGGTTTCAAGTGCGTGATAACCGATGATCAGTATGATACAGTCTAGCTGGAGGGAAGGGTTGGGACGAGGCCATGATGGAGAAGCCGAGAAAAACAGTTGGTGTGGGACTTGAAGGATCTTTGCTGCTTTGCTAAGGTGTTTTATCTTTAACCTGTAGGCAATAGGGAGCCATTATAGATTCCTGAGTGACATAATGACATAATGTGAATTTTTGTCAGATGAATCTGGGCACCATAGCAAGCTGGGTGGGAGGTAGGGAGAGACTGACTGTAGGAAAACCAGTGAGGAGGCTATTGCTGTTTTCTTTTATATTCTAGGCATGAGGTAATGAGTAGCTGGAGCAGGGTGGTGGTGGGAATAGAAAGGAAGGGATGGATTGGGGCCAGGAGGGGGACGGGGTAACTGAATAGATGATGGAGATTAGAGAAAGGGAGGAGGAGTTAACTACAACTAGGCCGGGTGTCTGGCAGATGAAAAAAATGAAGAATAGGGGTACACTCACAGAATGTGGGAGGCGAGTGAATTTTGTTTTTTTCCAGGAGGTAGGGAAGTCTCCGACAAGTCCTTTCCCTTCTCTGGCCTCAGTTTCCCCATCAGACCACTGGTGGGGCTTGGACTGGGTGGCCTGGAACATCCCTCCTCTTTCAGGGTGTGTGGCTCAAGGCTGTAAATCTGGGTTGTTTGAAGAGGCGGAGGGTCTGCGCGTGTGAGATCGCTGAGCTGGCCACTCTGCCAGGTCCCAGTTGAGGGGGTGTTCATGCATGTCAGTGCTTGGGGTGCATCTGCCTGTTTGTGGGACTGGTGGGTGGTTGGTGTGCCTGCACGTGCCGTTTAGCTCCGCTTTGTGTGAGTGTGTGTGAGCAAGAGCTCGGGAGTGCGGGTGTGCACGTGATGGGCGTCTGTGGGTCTGTCTGGGCTGGTGGTGGTAGAAGTGGGGGCTGGTGGAGAGTGGCATTGCTATAGGCTTCTTCCTGAGGCTCACACACTCCTCCTGCTCTCACTGTTCTGAAATAGCATCTGGACTGAAGGCCCATGAATATTTCACAACGATAATTCTGTGACCTGGACAGCCTGATTTACCAGCATCCCCCCTCCCCCTGCCCAGGCCCCAGCAGCTCTTCCTCCATCAGAGCTCTTGCCTGGCTGCCCTCCCTCCCCCCACCCCAACTCATTAGCCTCCTCAAAGCCAGCCTGACACAGGACCCCCTGTAAGACCTCCCCTGGACTCAGAGTTCCCCAGGGGGTCCCTGACCAGCTGCTCTCACTGTCCTTCCACCTGCCCCACATGCTTATCCAAAGTCCACCTGCCTCCCTCATGCTTAGATGTTGACATCTTCCCGTTTCTTCCTTCCTCCTCTTCTCACCATCCTCTGACTTCCTTGGCCAGAGCCACAGAATCTCAGCATCCCTCCTCCTCAAGCCCTCTGTCTTCCCATTCCCACCTCCCAAGCTAGATTCTTAACCCTAAATTCAACCCCTCAAGCTTCTTTTCAATTGCTTCTGTCTGATGAGACTCACCCCTACCCCATCCCAAGTCCTTCTTTGTGCAGTCTCTTCCATGTCCCCAGCTTCTCCTCCACATACCAGAAAGACGAAGTTTCTAATCACACCTCAAGCTAGTAAGGCACCCCAACTTGGGATTCTTGTTCCTCTGATCACCCTAGCCCCTTGGAGAACTGCTTCTCTGCTTCTAGCTTGCTTGGAGAACTGCTTATCTGACCTGGTCCATCCCTGATGATTTTTATCTCACAGGAGCCAAGGGACAGAGACTGGATGTCTACAAGGCTGCTGTGTACAGCTGTGCAGCTGCACACTGCACCAGAGCGTTAAGCCAAAGGGGCAAGTGTGAGCTAAAATCCACCTTTAGCTGCTTTCTAAGGTGTTTGCTCTGGCATGGGCTGTGCTCCCCTGAAGAAGAGGTGCCTTTTTCAGATTTGCCCAAAGCCATGTTTGGGCTAGCTGTGACCATGGATGTCTAAGATAGTCCTTGCAGGGGAAGGTGGAAACTGCTTCTCTTTCATGATGGGACTGGGAGCCATTAGGCAGGCAGGAGGCCTTCTCCAGGCTTAGTTCCTCAGGTGCCAGACAACCCAGGGTTGGCTGCAGCTGCTTCCCCTGGACGAATGAGGAGAGGTGCCATCAGCATCTACTCTTGGCTGTCAGATTTCACCCCACCTGGGACTCAGGGTCACACCACCCTTCCTCAGGCTTCAGCTTCTTGTCATGGGGGAGAGTACACACCAGCTCCAGCCAGCGGGACGTTCTTTACTGCATGGGATGGTTCCCCCTTCTCTAACCCTCCTGGCCCTGAAATCCTTACAGTTCTAAGCCATCATCCCACTTTTGAAGTCCTGAGCCCACAAACCTTACAGGAGATAAAATAATAGAATTTTTTAATAAATTTTTTTTTTCCCAAACAACTTCTTTTGTTCTTCACCACACAGGGTCCACGGTGGAGAGGAAAGTTCTCTCCAGGTGCCCTCAAAAGTGTCCAGGGTAGACTTAGGAGAAAGTATTCCTCCAGCGTCAGGAGGTTGCAGGGGCTAGAACAAGCAAGGGCCCAGGGTCAGCCTGGCCCTGACTGAGGCATCCCTCCAAAGGGTCCTGGGTGGGGCTCCCCTGGGGGAGCTTCCAAAGGCTCTGCTGGTGGAAGATGCTCTGCAGACAAAATCCCCTCTGAAGTCCACTGCGGGCACCGGGAGAGGGGGTCAGCGGCTGCCTGGGGTGCCCCACCCCAGCCTTGGGATGGGGAAGAGTTAACGGCCAGAGTTGGGGAGAATAGGGCTGAGCCGCCATACAAGCCCTCTTAGGACTGCCAGTTAAGTCAGAACAGCTCAGGACACAGGGAACGGCGGCCTGGTCCCAGCGGAGGAGCTGGGAGGAAAAAGGAAGGCAGCAAGGCCGGGGACGTGGGCAGGGACTGGGGCCAGAGCCACCGGTGGGGGTCGGGCGGGGGGACTGGACCCCGGCCTCTGGCCTCTTCAGTCTCAGCACCGCAGTCAGAGGTGATGGGGCGCCAGGAGCAAGAGGCAAAGCAGCGGGGTGGGGAGCCCGGCCGAGAGCGCAGGGCCGCGGGAGTCCGGGGGCGCCTGACAGGCAGAGCCGGGGCACGTCTGCTCCCCGCGCTGGTCCTCGCCCCCGTAACCCCCCCAGTAGTCGTCCTCGGTGGGCGCGTCCCCGCCCTGGCGTCCCCGCGAGTCTTCGGCGGGCAGGTCTCGGTAGAGGGTGGAGGGGTCGGCGGGGGGCGCCCCGGCCTCGGCCACCCCGTACAGGTGGTTGGAGGAGCTGTTGCCGCGGGCGCGGCTGCCCGGCCGCGTGGGGGCCGCCGGCGGGCAGGCCTGGAAGTCGGCGTCGCGCAGCGCGCGCAGGTCCCGGCCCTGGCGCTCCGGGGGGGTGGCGCAGGTCACGTCGGAGCTGGACACGCGCGCGCGCTGGAACCAGGCCCAGAGCGGCCGCGCGCGGCAGTCGCACGCCCAGGGGTTGGCGTTGAGCCGCAGGAACTCGAGCGCCGGCAGGTCGGCGAGCGCCTCCCCGGGCAGCGAGGCCAGGCTGTTGTTAAACAGGTAGAGGATGGTGAGGCGGCTGAGGCCGCGGAAGGCCGCGCGGTGCACGCCCTGCAGCCGGTTCCCGTGCAGCAGCAGCCGGTCCAGGCTGCCCAGGCCGCGGAACACGTGCTCCGTGAGCAGCCGCAGGCGGTTCCCGTGGAGGAAGAGGTGGCTCAGGTTGGCCAGGTCCGAGAACAGGTCATCCTGCAGGGAGGGTGGAGGAATAGAAGGAGAGTGGCCTTGAGACAGGATGGGGACTCCTTTTGGGGTCTGGGTGAGGGGAAGGAAGGGGAGCACGGTGGCAAAGTAGAAAGGTTTTTCCCTGTTGACTCATAGAGTCCTGGGTTCGAATGCTGCCTCCTCTAATCTATTTGTTGTGGAAAAAGCGGTATAGTTGAGGTCAGTGGTTCTTAAACTTTAGGGTGCATCAGAATCCCTTGCAGATTTCCCGAACGCCGCCCCAGAGTTTCCAATTACGCATGTCTGGGGTGGAGCCTGGGAATCTGCACATGTTTATAAGCTCCCAGGTGCTGCTGCTGCTGTCGGAGGACCACCCTTTGAGAGTGAGAACCTCTGGTTGGGTTAAACAGGGAAACTGGGGAGCCAAGCTTTCTGATTCTGGAGCTGTCGTTAACTGACTATGCCACACCTTAGAGAAGTCACTCATTATCTCTGTGACTCAGTGTCCTCATCTGTAGAATGTGCACATTAAATGAAGCAACATGTATTAAGGTGCTTAGAACAAGGTTTCCATGCCGTAGGCATTCTGTGAGTTAGCCATCATTGTTAACTTTGCCAAGCTAGGAATCTCTCTAAGCAAGGTTTCTAAGGAAACCTCTATAAAATGGAGATGAATGTACCTACCTCATGGGTTTGTTCTGAGGATTAAAGAAGACAAGTCACATAAAGATCAGATGAGTTAAGTGCTGGACTCAGTGCTGGCACACAAGGATTCGGTCCAGTGATGAAGCCCACAGGCTCAGGAATTAGAGCCCCAGCTTGCCTTTTTCCTAGCTGTGTTATTTTGGGGCAAGTTATTTAGGCTCATGGAGTCTCAGTTTCCTCAGTATGTATAACAGGGAGAACAACCCCCTCAGCAGGCTGAATAAGGGTTAGATCGTATAATGCTCTTAAGGGTATAGAACCTGGAAGGTGCACAGTCGACCATCAATAAATGGTGGATATCATGACAAAAAGGGCTCAGTTGGAATTAGGTCCCATCCCTTTTTCCCTAGAAGAGGAACTCCGTGGAGACCAAAGGTTCAGCTACTAGGCTGGATTATTCAGGGGACCAGGTGTTAACTCCACCCCTCCTCCCACCCCAGGCAGCAGGGAAGGGGAAGGAAGCTGAGTTGCTGTCACCTGATGCCCTGCATCACTGCCCCCCTTAGAGGAGCTGTCCCACCTGCTAAGGGTCACCGAATCAGGCCATTTTAGTGCTGGAAGGACCTTAGAATTAACAGGGGTGGATATGACCTACAGTGGGGTGGAGATCATTGGACTCTGCACTTCAACCAGTTCACCAGGTACTTCTGATGATCAGCTGGTTTGCTATCTTCAGGATTCACCAGCCTAGCTGACTTTTTACAGAGGAGAGCACTGAGGCTCAGAGAGATGAGGGGTTTGCCAGAGAGGAGACCAGAGCCCCAATCCCCTGACCCCACCACCTTGAGGTCCTCCCCTCTTGTGCAGGGCATCGCTGTGGTCAGCATGTCCCAGGAGGTCTGGTTCTCAGGGCCAGGAGCATTCTCTGTGCTCAGGCCACCTCACCCTGGGGTCCTGTTTCCTGACTGGCTCTCCCTCCCGTCCCTGCCTGGGGAGATAATCCCAGATCCCCTCCCTACACCACCCTAGAGCCTGGTCGGAGGCCTCAGGTGGGGGAGGGCATTGACTCCCAGCCCACACCCACAGCCTCCACCTTCCTGTGCTCCTGCGTGTTCTCGCCCCCTCCCATCTGGTTTCCACCCTCTCCGCTACAGGAACTGAGCCTGCCAAGAGCCCTCCTCTTGGCCACATTGAGATCCGTCCCCCTCAACCTTCTCAGCTGCCTCTGACACTGGCATTCTCCGCCCGCCGCCCCTCATCCCCGCTCAGGTCTCCAGCTGGCTCCCAGTGCCTCCCTGGCCTCAGCCTGGCTCAACTTGGCCTGGTGCTCTTGTCCTTTTCCTCCTGGACCACCCAGCGAGTGGCCCTGAATCCCTTTCACTGAGACACCTAATCAGGGTTTCTGTGTTTCATAGAGTGTCAGCAAGAGTAGGGCACACCCAAAGATATATGGTCAGAGGATCAATATGGGAGAGGAGGAAGAGGGAACCCGAGTAATCGGCACCTTGGGGACTCTGGGAGGTCAGGAAGACCAAAGGTTCAGGGACCGTAGGGAATTCAAGTGCCTTTGACCTTCAGCTCCAATTTTTGGGCTGTAGAATTCTTTGCTTCCCACCTCCTCTCCTCCTGCCTGTATCTCTGCAAAAAGTCCTACCCCTGCCCTCTAGAAGCCTCAGCCTTGGGGTCCATTCCCTCTCCCCACACCCAAGCTGTTGTCAAGTCCCATTGCCACTTCCTGGGCTGCAGCTCTCAAATCCGGCCCTTCCTCTCTCCGCCGTTAAAACGGTTCTCTGTGCATTAATAAGCTCTTGACTTTCACAGCCCTAGCCCTCCCCCACCACCCTCTCTATATCACCCCCTCCCTCTGGCCTGAGAGCTCTGCTAAAGTCATCCTCTTCCATTTCAAAAACCACATTTCCCTCGCCTCCCCCCTGGCCGGTTCACAGCTCTCTGAATCCATTTGGAATCGTAAAGCAGCATCCCTGCCCCGTTCCCCAGACAGCATCCTGTTCTTAACCTTGCCTCCCTCCAACCTCCCAATTCCTGACTCTAGCACTACTTAAATCAGCTGCTGGGCTGTGTGACCTTGGACAGCTCCAGGTACCTCTCTGGACCTCAGCTTTTTCATCTGTGAAACAAAGGACTTGGGATAGTTGATATTTAAGAGCACATCCTCATCTGATATTTATGAGTTGGTGAGTCCTGGAATGTGCCTCATTCATTCAGCAGAGCTGTACTGCGTCTACTCTGTGCCAGTTGCCCCCGCTTGCAGTGCTCACCAGTCTATGGCAGGTATCATCATCATCATTTGTGTCAGCAGCAGCAAGAGATCAATTACTGAGCGCTCAACCATGTGCCAAGCTCTGTGCTGCACAGATCCTATGCAGTAACTTAAGCATCGCAACCCTGTGAGGTGGATACTATTATTAGGTCCATTTCAATGATTAGGAGAGGGAGGCTCAGAAAAGACAAGTGACTTGCCTGGGGTCCAGCAGCTAATATGCAGTGGAATGTGTGTGCGAATTCCAGAGACAGGGCTTTGAACAACTGCACTCTGGAGTCAGACGACCTGGGCCAATTCTAGGCTGTTTCCCTTACTAGCTGGGTAAGGGACACTGGTGTACTGGTGCCTTAGCTTTGCTGAGACTCAGTTGGTGTCCTCACTGTTAAATGTTAAATGATAGCTGCATTCATTGGATACTTAACTCTGCACCAGACATGGGGCTGAGCCCTTTTCAAGTAGTATCTCCTTTAATCCTCACCACACCCCCTGCCCTGAGGTACAGGTCATTATCTCCGTTTCACAGATGGGTCCATTGAGGCTCAGAGTGGTTAAGTAACTTGCCCAAAGCCACAGAGCAAATTGGAAGTGGGGCTCAAACTCAGATCTGCCTGAGTGCAAAGACTGCTTTCAGACACCATGCAGGCCACTGTAATGACTGAAACAGAGAACGGGCGTCTTCATCATCTGGCTACACTCGAGTAGGAAACATGCTCTCTGCTGAATCCCCAGCACCCAGAACACTGCCTGGCATGTAGTAGGTGCTCAGTAAATATCTGTTGATGAATGAGCTCACCTGGCCCAGTGCCTGGCATACAGCAGACAGTCTGTGAGAACCTGTACCTCACCCCGTCTCCATTTCTACCTTCCACGCCCTGAAAAGCTGTGGTCCCCTGTGCAGCCTCCTCCAAACCTCCCATCTCAGGGCATGCCTGGCTCCATCGTGGGTTGCACCTGCATCCTGTGGATCTCACCCCAGCCACACATTTTGTCACCCGCCTGTGGCATCTCCCAGCCTACTTCTGCCAGGCAGTTCACAGGCAGAATTGTCTCTTTCCTTTTCCTCTAGAAAGGGCCAGGTGTGAAGATGCTTCCTTCCCAATGATGCCCAGAACAATCCATGCCAGGGGTGTGCAGAACAAATGCTTCCCATTTCAGAAGATCCCCAGTGTCCACCCGAGGTCCCTTCTGCCCAGGCCTTTGCTGGCCCCAGGCCCTGATGACTATTCTTAGCCCAAGAGTCAGTGGAGGATTGGGTCATAATAAAATGATTTATTCAGCACTGAGCCATATGCTTTATAGACACTAACTCATTTACTCTTTACAGCCATTCATTGTCGAGGGTATTATTTTTGTTATTCCCAGTTTATAGATGAGAAAACTGAGGTTCAGAGAAACAACTTGCCTAAGGTTACATAAGTCAGAAAATAGCAGAGCAGGGATTCAAACTCAGGCCCTCTGACTCCATATTCCTTGTGAACAACTCCTATATATTGATAAGGAGGTCACGATCTCACTAGTAGTAGTTGTAGTAATAATAATGACACCAATAATAGCAGTGATTATAGTGCCCATATCCTTAAAGTGTGGCCCTGTGACTAAATGCCTTACATTTTAATCCTTACAAAACTTCTTAAATAACTATTATTAAGTACTATCATAGTTGCCAATTTATGAAGGAGGAAATAGAGGCTGAGAGGTTAAGTAATTTGTCCAGAGTCGTGTAGGAGCCAGGATTTGAATGTAGGTCTGGCAGACTCCAAAGTGTGTGCTGTAGAAAATGAGCCTATAGTTGCCAATTTATGAAGGAGGAAATAGAGGCTGAGAGGTTAAGTAATTTGTCCAGAGTCATGTAGGAGCCAGGATTTGAATGTAGGTCTGGCAGACTCCAAAGTGTGTGCTGTAGAAAATGAGCCCGTTCAACTGTGCTTCGGAGTGCTGTCCACCAGAAATGTAGTCAGACCATGTAGGCACAGTGCCAGCGCCTCCTGGCTGTGTGACCTCAGGAGTTTCCATTCCATGTCCCTAGTGCCCTGACTGTCCCTACTGCCAGGCTGTGATGAGGCTCAACGTGATGGTGGGAATGTATAAGCCCCCAGTCACACAGACAGTGGTTTAAGAGATTTGTGTTTAGAGGTCATTATATCTCCACAAAGCTTTCAGAACCCCAGCCTCAGTTTCCCCATTGTTAACATGGAGGTGAGAACAACCTCCCAACAGGGCTATAGAAGTGAGATGAGGTGGCCGAGTGCATTTCATAAACCATAAGGCACCAGGAAAATTTAGAAAGAAAAGAAAAGGGAGGGTGTGTTTGGGACCCACTGTGGCCTTGGTATAATTCTTAAAGTTGACCCTGATCTCCAGGATGGGGTCCAAGTTGTGCCACTTTACCGAGACCAATGTTAAATAAGGCTCATTTCTTTTTTAAAAATAGTGTTTTAACAAGCATTTATAGAGTGCTTACCGTATGCCAAGCACCATTCTATGTGCTTTACAAATTATTCATGCATTTAATGCTTATAAAATCCTTAGGAGATGGGTGTTCTTGCTACTCCCATTTTACAGATGGGAAAACTGAGGCCCAAGGAGGGGAAAAAATGTCACGTGCTTGTAAATGGTGGAGTCAATACTCTTAAAGTGTCAGCACAGTGCCTGACACAGTGTATGCCCACAGAGTGGTAGTGGCTGCTCTTATTACTATCAGTATTTATGCCCTAATAATAACATAAGACATATCTTTCTGACATATTACACATTTTACTTCTTTCCCTCCCCATTAGGATGCTATCTCTGTGCTGGCAGGGGTTTCGTCTGTTTTGTTCACTACTGTATTCTCAGCACCTAGCACATACTGGGTGCTCAACAAATGTTTGTTAAATTATTATTGCTACTGTTATTATCATTAGCATCATTAACACTGATCTGATTTTCTAACCAGCAGATTGGTGATTAGTTAGGCACCAGCCCAGGGTGGGGAGGAGGAAGAGCCTTCCAGATTTAGGCAGGGAGAGGGGAGATTTTGGGTCTCCTTTCCCCTGCCAGCCAGAGGCTACGTAACCAGGAAAGATTTCCTCCCAGGGTGGTTTGGAGGGTGTGTTATTACTTCCTGGGGAAATGCACTGGGAGGATTTGACTGTCAAACAGTCAACATTAACAACAACAATAAACCATAATTAGATCAATAATAATAACAATAAATAATAATTACTGTTATTTCTTCCATTTTCAGAGCATCTGTTTTCTAGCTGCAGAACAGAGCTTTACCCTTGTTTTTCTTCCTCCCTTGCACTGAGATGACAGGTTTGGGGAATGGGAATCTAGAAAGGGGAGGGTTTTCCCTTTTCCTATTACCCTGATAGTTGGAGGGAGGGAGAACCTTCTATGGGACACCAGTGGCAGTGGCTCTGTCTTTTTGTTCCACTTCTCCAGGTGTGGGAGGACTTGGTGGTGGATGAGAAAAGGCTACAAAGGCCTTTGGGCCGGGGTGCCTGGGGAAAGGCAGAGTCCCCCAAAGTCAAACCCCAGGAAAGGAGAGATCACAGAAAGAGACACAAACACACACCCAGACAGACAGGGGGTGTATGCAGAGTGGGTGTGTGAAGGGAGACAGACAGAAGAGGCAGAGACAGATGGGGGAGGCAAGTTAGTGAGAGAGGCAGAGAGGGACAGAAAGGGATAGACAGACAGACAGGCACAGGCAGAGGCAAGCGAGGGAGGGGCTGGGAGGGGTTAGCGGGAGATAGAGAGAGGCAGAGAGGGACCACAACAGAGGTAGAAAGACAGACAGAGGAAGACAGACAGAAGAGACAAAGCAAAGAAGAGCCCCTGGAGGAAGCAAGAGGGACAGAAGCTTAGAAGAGGGACAGAGAAATAGAGAGATGGAGATGCTGAGGCAGGAAGGTTGGCCTGGGGGGAGAGGAGGGACACACACAGGGATAGGGGAGCAGAGAGGCCCAGAGAAAGAGGGAAGCAGAAGAGGACTGGGGTGGGGTGGGGGGCAGCTCACCTGTAGGTGGAGCAGGCTGTTCTCCTGGAGGTAGAGGTACTGCAGGCTGACCAGGCCACGGAAGATGTTGCCGGGCAGGCTGCTGAGCTGGCAGCGGTACAGATGCAGCGACTGCAGCCGCTCCAGGCCCTGGAAGGTGTCAGGCTCCAGGGAGCGCAGGTGCCGGTTGTCCCCGAGGTCCAGTTCCTCCAGGACCTGCAGGTGGCGGAAGGTGCCCGGGTAGATGGTAGAGAGGTTGTTGGAGAAGAGCCACAGGGTGAGCAGATTGGGCCCAAAGGTGCCCGGCCGCAGTGTGCGGATGAGGTTGTTCTGCAGGAAGAGTCGCTGCGTACTAAGCGGCAGGGACAGCGGCACGGAGGAGAAGTTGTTGGCCTGGCAGCTCACGGTGGGTGGAGATGAGTAGCAGGTACAGAGCATGGGGCAGCTGGGGGCCACGGGGGGCAGGGCCAGGAGCATCAGCAGGAGGCAGGCCGAGGCGGGACCTGGTGGAGGGGGGAGAGTGAAGTGAAGCCTGACTGGGCGCTGGGTGCTGGGTGGGCTGTGAGGGCAGGAGTGCCAGCCAGGGGCCTGCCCGCCCACCCGCTCAAGGCCTGGAGCCCTGGTGCTCCTGCATCAGGCAGTTCGGGGTGCAACCTCAGAGTCTGCAGAGGCCTGGCCACTTCCACTTCTTGAGGCTCCTGGTATGTTAAAAAATAACGCCAAGAGGGTATTGTAGAAAGCACGGTGGTGCCTTTAAAGTTGTTTGATGAGTGATCATCTCTTCATTCCTCTTTTCACTATGGTAGGTTTGACCTTGTTTAGAGATTAATGTCAAAAGACTAGCTGTCAGGGTTTCTCTACCTCGGTATTGACAGTTGGGCCCGAGAGCTCTTTGTTGTGGGGGCAGCGCTAGAGAGGGTGTTTAGCAGCATCTCAGTCTTCTATCTACTAGATGCCAGCAGCACCCTGCCCCCAGTTGTGACAACCAAAATGTCTCCAGACATTGCCAAATGTCCCCTGGGGAGCAAAATCACCCCACTTGAGAATGACTGGAAATAACTTGAGACTGTTTGTGAATCCAAGGCCCATGTGAAATGGCCCTCTGGCCACCCCGGGGCCCAGCCTTGCGAGCCCACTGGTGACCAAAGGTGTTCCCTCTCACCTGCCTGCAGCTTTCACCTTTGAAGAACTCTGGTCCCTCAAAAACGAAAGGGGCCTTAGGATCCAGGGTTTAGTGGGTCTCTAACTGGGGCCACCAGCCACGGGCAACAGAATCAGCCGGGGTCTCAGAAAGAATTCGGCTTCCTCAACCCCACCTGTGCAGAGTCACAATCCCTGGGGGCAGCCTGGCCATCTGCATTTTACACCCCAGGCTCTTCTCATTCAAAGTCACCTAAAAAACCTTTTTTTTCTAAGTAGCTTTTGAAGGTTGGATATGGTCCAATCTTCTTATGATGTAGGTGGAGAAGCAGGCCCAGGGAGGCTAAAGAGCGCAGCACAGACACCTGTATTCCTGTGCTGTAGAAGGGGGATGCAGGGCCCCACAACCATCCCTGACCCCTGCCTTCCTGCCTTCACTGTAGCTGATAAACCAGCTTGACCTCTTCCCTTTATGAGGATTACCAGATGATTCCCAGGATGTTCTGGCAAGCTATGCCTGGGGATAAGAGGAGGCTGCACCCCCAAAGCCAGGCAGCCATTCCATGGCACAGTGACCGCACACCTTCTGCCTCAAGCAATGCACTAGGCCTTTGAAGGCAGAGGGGAGGGAGGAAGACCTGGTTCCTGGTTCCTGAGACCACAGGAGGGGCTGAGGGGTCAGTGATTTGAGCACAAGACCTCCGTGGCTGCAAGTCGTGCGTGCTTCGGTGGTTGTGTTGTGTGTGATGTTTCACGCCCCGAGGCTGCTGTGTGTGTGTGTGTGTGTGAATATGTGCATGTCTATACGATTTGGGGTAATGGGTGTGAGCCAGGTGCTCATTACATGAAGTGCTGCTGAGCCAGGTGTGTGCACATGGCACCGGCAGGCCCCAAGCGTGGCACTGGCATCTCAGATGCTCTGGTGTGCCTCTCCTGAGGTGCAACACACAGGCACAGGGTGGGGGAGTTCCTTGCTCCTTGCTTTCAGGCACCACTCCAAGGCCAACCTGGGCCCACACCATGAGTGTCCCTGGCCCCTCCCGGTGGTGCCTTGCGTGCGAGCGTGTGCTGCTGTCCCCCGCGTGTGTGTGAGTGCCGGGCCCCGTGTGTGTGTAGGCTGGGTGTGATGTAATACTCAGTGACACAGCGGCTGCTGTTCCATTCGTTCACACCACCTCCGCGTTTCTCGGCCCTTCTCACCCCTCCCCCGTGCGGTGTTTCACGATTACTTTCTTCTCCTGAGTTTTTCAGAGCCACGTGGGGTGGAGGAGCACGTCTCTCACCCCTCATCTGAACCAGGCAGGGGTGAGGTGTGGGAACCCTAGGGGGAGGGATGTGGGAGGGACTGGAGACCCTGGGTGGGTTTCAAAAGAGCTGAGGTTCGGGGCTTAGAACTGGAGATTTCAGAGCTGGAAAGGTCCTTCGGGTACATTTGGTTAAGGATCTGTTCTACTAAGGTGACAACGAGGGCTCAGAGAGGGCAAGCAACTTGCCCAAGGTCACACAGCAAAGTGGTGGCAAGGCTAGGGCCAGAAGAAGAGCCTCCTTATGTCCAGCCAGGGTACTTCCCTTCCTGTCAGAGTCACTCTCTGAGCTCCGCCTCCCCAAAGACTTAACACCAAAGGAAGCCAAATCCTTCTCTGATCCCTTAATCCCACCCCTTATCCACAAATTCACAAGTGTGAGCTCTGGTGGCAACCAGCCCTCTGGAGGATTACAGAGCTCTTCTTCACAGAGGGAGGACATAGAGGGAAGGACTGCAATCCCCAAGGCCCCCAGAATCAGGGGCCACACCCTGGCACCCCAGGGTCTCTTCCAGCTCAGAGGCCAGCAGGGGCTGACAAGGGCGCCTGCTCCTCCTTTCTACCACGCTTCCCTTGCCCACATTAGACCGCTTCTCTCCTCTTTCCCCACCACTCCCTTCCCCTCTTCCCCATGTCTCCCCCGACCATGACCCACCTTCTCTAGCCTGTGGTGGCATTCCCTGCAGGCTCTTGGAGGAGGGACCCTGAACTGGGGCCCCTCCATGACAGCTGCTGCATAACAGTGACTCTGTTGCCATTTCTAGCCCTTGCCGCCGCCATGCCGTGCAAAGCAGCTGTAACCCAAGGAAGCTCATCCATAATTCAGGCTGTGGCTCTCACTAGAGGCAAGGAGGAGGGGAAGGTGGGGGGCTGTGGGCTTCTGTGGCCCCAGGCCTGGCTGGAGTGAGCACCCCAGGTCAGAGGCAGTGGGGGCTGGTGAGCTGCGCTTTTCCCTCCCTTCCTCCCTGCTCTCGGTGCCCTTTTCCTTCTCGCCATGGCTCCTCTCCACCCCCTGCTTCTCACGCCTCTACACCTCCACTCCTTCCCTCCAGGCCCAGGCCTCCCCTCTCTCCCCCAGGACCACAGCTCCACTCCTGGCCCCCATTTTGTGACTCCTGGGCAGAGACTGGGACAAGATGCACAGAGTGTCAGAGCTGGAGTAGGGGATCCCTGGGTGGCCATCTAGAGCAAACCCCTCATGGCACAGGTAACACCACCACTGAGGCTGGGAGGGGTTCCGTTGCTGAGCGGGCAGCCCAGGCCTCCTGACTGCAGCGTCTTCCTGCGAAGCCTTCATTTCATGCCTCCACTGTCTTACAGGCAGAGGAAAGCCCTTCCTCCCCCACTCTCACCCCATCCTCTAAAGTCAGCAGGTGATGGCTAGAGTTGCAAGGGGGTGTAGAGCAGGGAAGGGAGGAAACCATCTGTTACGAGGCACCTACTGTGTGCCAGGCACCCTATTTGTACCTGTTGACTTCTTTATCCATAGAGTACAACATAACATAACCCCCGGTGAGATCAATGTCATGGCGGAGGAAACCATCTGTTACGAGGCACCTACTGTGTGCCAGGCACCCTATTTGTACCTGTTGATTTCTTTATCCATAGAGTACAACATAACATAACCCCCGGTGAGATCAATGTCATGGCCCCCGATTTGCAGATGGAGGGAGGGAGGGAGGCTCAGAACCATGAAATCAGTTGCTGCAGATCATGTAGCTAGTATGGATGGAACCCAGAGTGGAAGGGGGGGTGTCCAGCCATGTCAGAAGGGACCCTCTGACCTTCCTTAGGGAGACCTCTACCTCATCCATGGAAACCACCCCAGATGTGTGAGATGCTGCCCTTGAGGTAAAGGGAGGACAGAAATTGCACCCGAGTGCCCAGGGCTGGGCCAGCTATAGTGCTGGGTCTGTTTGGCTGTTCAGGGTCAAGGCAGGGAAGGGACCCAAGCTCTCTCTGCAACTTTCCTCTCCTGGGCTCCAAGTTGTGGTTGCTCTAGGGGACAGCGCATTTGGGAGCCCAGCATGCAGAAGATATGGCCAGAACTGACCAGGGGTGGGAGTGGAGAGAGGACAGAATATGATATTGATCCTGGAAGGCTGAGGTGCCCAGAGCCAAAAAGTATGCATTCACTGAGGGACCATTGTCAAAGACGCTATCAAACCTTTGAGTAACAAGGCTCAGAAACAAAGTTCTCACCCCAGGAGCCACCCTTTAGGCCAGAGGCCCCTGTGGAAGAAGCAGAGGGACCCAGCGTAGAGAGCAGGAGCCAAGATGCAACCCACAGAGCAGAGCTGTGGTGCGGTGTGGTCCCAGGAAAGTGTGCTCCCTGGAAAGGGAGATGAGGCCTTTGGCTCTGGAAGGAGAGACATAGAGTCCGAGGTGAGAAGCAACAGCTCCACACCCAACAGGCTGCTTCAGGGAAGGTCTGGGGCCACCGGGCAGATGCTGAGGGGGCAGGGGCTGAGGAGGTGGGCACCGAGGAGCAGGATGGAGGTGGCGGTGACGCCAGTGACGCAGGGGCCTGGGGAGGCATTGACGCGGGTGACGGGGGTTTAGAGCTACTGCAAACAGCTTCTCACTCTGCCAGAATGTAACACCCCAAAATAAGCAGCCACTGTGGTGGTGGTGGCGGCAGGATCCGACGTCGGCCCAGAGATATAAATGGCAGCATGGAGCCAGCCTCCGGGGTGCCCACCCTTAGAGGCTTCCACCCCTCTAGAAAGTCCTCACCCTCTTTCCCTCGCAGCCACCCCCAAAGTCCTGAGCTCAGAACCCCAGGTCTGGCTGATCAGCCACTCCCTGAGAGAAGGGATGTGACAGGCAGGCGCTTTGGGAATGGAGGGCTTCCCACGTGGACGTGGTTACCAGAAGCCTCTTTGTCTCATCCATCCCTGGGCATCCCCCCCAGTTCTTCTCTCCCGTCCCTTTCTTTTCCTCCTCCTCTTCCCTCCTCTCCAGCCCCCATCCCCATCGTGATCCATTCCCAACCCCTCTCCTGCCTGTGGTTCCCTGTCCCCAACCCTAGAGCTCATCCTCGACTCTCTCCCCTGT